GACCGACTGCAGTTCTTTTTTTTCTTTTTTTCTTTTCTGGGCTAACGATTGCAGTTCATGATAGTCATGAACTTAATTGGACCCATATACAAATAAAGAAGTTAATAATGATTTAATTTACTGGTTTGGCTCTCTACTGCTTGAGGTCCAGCAGAATGACCAGCGTCATGGCCAGCACCTGGACTGTGCCCCGGCGTTGTGGACCGGTGGGAATCGCCACCAGAATCGGTTCGAACCGGTGGCACAGAGTCTGATAATTCATTTCCCAACACATTTCGGCGCGAGTTGAGATAATTGTCGTCACTGATCATTGATGTTGATCCCCCGTTCGTATGATCTGTTTTCAGAAACCTTTCTTCAGTTGAAATGATCCCATAAGAGAAAATTAGAACAAGAAGAAGCACACTGAGCTTGCCATTGGCCATGATAATAAGATTAGTTTAGAAAACAAACTGACGGGAGAGAGAGAGAGAGAGAGAGAGAGAGAGAGAGAGAGAGAGAGAGAGAGAGGTGTGCTGTGGTTCCAACTGACTGCATTGGAGGGTATATATAGAGTTTGAGCTGGGGAGTTGGCGTAGTGGAGTGAAATACTTGAAAAATGAAATTTGAGCAAATTCAAAGAGGTACTTAGTAAATTAATCAAGAAGTAAACGGTTAAATGATTATATGCTCCCCTCCTCAAGATTCTCTGAATATGCATGTCCCATGCATAACCATGTGTATGTTTCCAACTTGCGTACATTGTTTTTCAAATATGTTTTCTAGCCTGGCTAATCAAGTTTAGCTGTGGGGATTAAAATGTATGTAATGCTTCAACAAATTAAGGAAGAATTTAAATGGTGCGAAACATCCAGACCCACTAACCAGAGCCTGATGAGACGTTTCTGGCATGAATCCAACACTTGACCTACTGTGCTGTAACCATTCATGCATATTCAACTATTTTGAAGTAATACAAATCATCAAAGATGGAACAAATATCTAGCCTATATAAGAATGATGATGCACGATCGGTGAGCACATTAAAATCTTGCTGGAACTTGTAACTCAGTCGAAGGAAATAGAGTACTACGCATACCCCAAGAGAAACTAATCTTTGCTATAGTTTAGTAAAAGGTTTACAATGTATGTCTTAATTCCTATCAAGTACTAATAGTAATAATGCAATTGTTAAGCAGAAAATCAAAGATGCAAATTAAATAAATTAAAATTTCATCATTAAATTTTAAAATCAAATCTAACACTAGGGTTTAGTAAAAAGTCATCTAATTAAATGCTCACAGTTGAATTTTTTATACAATTTGAGTTAGCTAAGTTTTAATAGTAATATATATATATATATATATATATATATATATATATATAGTGCAGTCAAATGGTGTGAAAATTAAAGGCCGTTTTGTGCGCTGGTTATCATGAATCATATATGATAACTATCAAACTATCACAGGGGGACCCAAAAAAAAAAAAAAAAAAAAAAACCATCACAGTGGTGGCCGTTGAAGACGAATTTTAGGCCTTTATTTCATACGATACGTTCTGAGTTCGATTTCTACCACTGGTGAATCGCACGATGGTACCCAGAGGAGGCTAAAATACCTCTATGAGTCTTCCCGGTTCCCAAAAAGGTAGATTGTCGTAACGAAACCATCAAATAGTCTTTTTTTTAAAAAAAAAAATATGTATATATATATATATATATATATAAGTATCAAGCTAGGAATAGGATATTGTTTGGGGATACAGGCTATAAATCTCCTTTTGACTGAATCTTTAGTATATTCCGTGATCGAGTATACTTCGAACTGTACGTACGTAATGCCATTTTTTTCAGTTGAGCACTTAAGCATCTGGCCATGATTCTGTCGCCAATTCCGAGCCCTCCAAATACCCAATATTATGAAATCACCACGACCCAAGTCGATCTAATTAAGTACACTGGGCCATGTTGGTTGTCCTGGATTTTGATTTGGCTTGAAAAACTCACCAATATTATTGAGTTTTGAATGAAAATATACCAATTTCTATATTGTGTTCAAGTGAAGGTAGACCGTAGAAAAACCATGAAGAAAGCTTACTTTTCCTAATCCCCACAAAAATTAGGATTAAGAGAGAATTTTTTTCATGACTTCTCTACATTCTACCACTTACATAAAACTTTATAAGTTGACATCCATATTTTTATCTAACATTCATGAGTAATGCTACAATTATCATCTATTTGTAATATCATTTGTACCATGTTTCTAATAGAGGTTGGACTTGCCAACGTATATGGATCATATTTCTATTAGAGAGATGATACAAATATTAGTAAGAAGTAGCACTTTTGAACATTCATTGAATCTAATATAGGTTATCCAAGCCATGTAAATCATAGACAACAAATAAGTTAGAGCTTTCATCATGATTTGATTTCTAAGAATGAGAGAGATTTTGAATATAATAATCTCATCGTTATGTGAGTTTATTAATTCATAGATTATAATATGAATAGATGAAAAAATTAATATTCATAAAATTAGGGTACAAAGCTAATAAAAAATTATTAATAGAGCATCAGAAAAATCATTCTACCTTCCTCATTCTCTCACTTTTTTCACTAGGAAACAAAAGGCAATGACTTTTTTACGTGTTAATAATTATTTTTTATTAACAAATAGATACACGTGTTATATAACATGAGGGCATTACCCAGTGATTCATATATGTTAACACATAATTAGTGGTCTGGTCGCGCCTTTCAATTAACGGACAAATTTTTTGCACGGGTGAGAAGCAACTCACAATTGAAGAACAAGATGGGAAGCCACTAGATATAAAATATACGAGTTAAACAAATACCAATGGAGGTTAAACGTCATTCTAATCATCGTTTTCCTAACAAAAAATGGTGATATCAATGATTTTAGTCTGGCTAATACAAAATTAATCAAGACTTGGTCTAAGCATAATCCAAAGATCTTGAAGCATTACTAAAAGTGGTCGACTGCAAGTGTTCAATCTTGGTACCACGTGCGCAGTGCGCACTAACATTTTCAAAAACTAGTCTTGCTAGTAAAAGAAAGGTCATCAAGGTTTGAAGCCCCACAAAGATACACAGCAGCCCCTTATAGCCTATAGGAATAAGAAACTACAGTACTCAATGAAAAGTGTAATAATTCATGTTCTATGCCTTTCAACCCCCAATATATATTCTCTAAGTATCCAAATTGACTTCTATGGATACAAAATTTCATGTTCTCTTTCTTTCAGTAATGTCCGAATATTATACTTTCAAGAGAATTTCCTTAGTATTTCTCTTCCGCTTATCATTATGTGAAAAGAGAAACATGATAATGCTAGAGAATAAAATTCTCATCGGAAAAAAAAAAAAAAACAATTTATGGATTATTATATGTGGGAGTTCTCACCTAATACACCAAGTTTTTTTTTTGTGATAAAATCTAACGCCTAGTAATATATGGGTAAGATGGGACACATATTGATGATGTTGGTGGTGGACTATATATATTGGGTCTAAAACGTTTATCAGTGTATCAAAGCAGGTTATTCTTTGAACATGTCTAGAGCTCTATTTACTGGGCTCGAACCTTAAAATTGGACTTCTGAAAACTTACTCTACCTTCAACTTTAATGTACCAATGGACCTTCGAAAAGTTACGTTGACTCTAGTGAATGAATAATTATAACCACACTCTTGAAAAGTGGTGTAAGCTCATTTAAAGGGTCGTCCAAAATTTGTGAGATCTTGGTATCCACATCTGGTTGGTTCCTAAAGTCATGGAAGTCCCACCATCCAATTTGTTTTGACCCTACAAAATGGAGTAAGCTTTCATTCGACGAAAATTACTGTGAGTGACTAAGTACCTACTTCTTCAATTAAAATGAGGCTGACTTTTGTTGAAATTGAGAGAGCATTATAAGAGGCTGACAAATCTTAAGTTCTTACCAAGTCATTGAAAACCATAGATATGTAACTGAGATGAGTAATCTGTCGAAAAGGGTAATTGAGCACTTTGTGGAAGCTTAAGAGGGAGAGATTCTCCTCGCTTTAACGGCTGAGCTACTATATAAAAATAGTGTAAAGTCAATGGGAAGCAGTTGTTTAGGAGAGTGGAGGAAAAAACTCTGGTGGGAGAAAAATTACGAGTGCCAAGAGAAAGTAAGTTAATAGTATCTATGCTTTATACTTTATGTCACACATGATTAATAAATCTTCCAAGGTAAACCAAAAATGAACGAGTGCGCTCAATCTAGCTACCCACTCAAATATGCGTGGAACAAATCAAAGACGAGAAAGGAAGAAAGGCTGCTTACAAACTATGATTTTTGTTTTATGGATTAAAATAAAGAAGAACACTGCATCTTGTCAAGGATTTTTTTTTTTTCCTAACTTACTAAGTTACAAACCATATTTATAAATAGGAAAAATTAGTATCTGATTCCTAATTACTAATGTTTATTGATTAAAATCTTATCAGTTTTCAGATTTTGATCGAAATCCTAGCATTAATATATTAATCAATTTACGTGTCAGTTACATAATTTTTTTAAATAAAAATTAGTAATTGATTTAGGATTGTAATACTCACATCCTTATTAAACTCCTAATCAATTTTCAATTCAAAACATTTCCAAAAAAATAAAAATAAAAAAAGGCCAAATTTGTAATTGTTAGAAAATTAGTAATTTTCAATTGATTTAAGATCGAAGTAATTGTTAACCACGGTAGATAAATTCATGCTACGAGTAGAACAGTCCTTGGTGGACAACAGAGCCGAATTAGGTCGGATCCGAATTGGTTTCGTGTCAATCGAATCAAGACTAGAAGACATCAAATTGGGCTCAAGTAAAAAATAGGGCCAAAATATCTCAAAAGGTCCATAAAAACAAACACCAAAACATAAGCCCAACCCACCATCACCAGCCCAATAACGGCCTAAACGACTCTGCAACGAAAGCAAGGGCACGAGGGAAATGTGGAAGAAAACGGAAAACGCAAGCAAAAGGCAGAGAGAGAGAGAGCCCAAATGATTGAATTCAAGGATTCAACGGTCGTTGGCGTGAGAGTCTGGCCGGTGCGGTTTGGCGCAAAAATAAAAAGAGAATATGCCGTTGAAATAATGCTTTTGTGTCCTCGCAGACGTTCTTAAATGCCAAGTCGGTTGAGTCGAGTCTCTCAGAATCATAGAAAAAGATAACCGGGATTCCCAACTACTTGCAATACCCATATTCCCTCTCCACCTCCTCTCTCTCTCTCTCTCTCTAGAAAAGTTTTAATCTTGAGAGGTCTCCGAGCATTCTTGGATCAATTTCTGGTGGGTGTTTCCGGCGTCCGACGGTGGTTTCTGGTAATTTTGTGATTAATTTAGTTTGATTGTTATTTGCTTCTGTGCTTTCTGCAATGGTTTGCTTTTCGTTTTGGGTTTCCTGGAATTTTGGAATCAAACCCTAGTACCTAATACTCTCTGTATGGTTTCTGTTTTTCTGCTTCAAATCTGGGTTGCTCGCGTATTGGTGTCTGCTTTGTTAGTTTCTTCTGAGTAACTTTACGGTGTCGTTTGAGCTCTTTGCATTTTGGGCGATGTGATAAGCTTTGTTATCAGTTTTAATGAATTGGGTTACTTCTAATTATTTTCAAAAGTATTGATTTTTAGTTCGAACTTGGTGGTATGGTTGATAGAAATTTTTGTATCGATGTTAACTTGCATTGCAGACGATATTATCAGCTTGGAAATAGTTCTTTTTGTGCATTTGTATAAGATGAGAGACCGAAAGATGTTAGTAGAAACGAGGATAATCTGTCTTGCCCAGATCACTTCACACGTTTATTATCTGGGTTTCTTTTTTTTCTACGTAAAACAATATGAAACATTCGTAATTTGCTTATTTTGATCCACTTATTGACTTCTGTTTTTTTATAATCTGTCTTTGTGCTCAGGATATCGGAGTTGGTCTACGTGGTGATTCTGGCAATCACGACTGTAGTGTGGTTTATTTGTAATAACTTGAAGGAGTGCGTGTACATTGGATGGGGTCGGATGTGCAGTCCGTTGGTTTTCTAGATACCTTAAAAATGGAGAGGGTTAGGACAATTCTAACCCATACATATCCTTATCCGCATGAACATTCCCGTCATGCCGTAATTGCTGTTGTTGTCGGTTGCCTCTTTTTTATCTCATCCGACAACATCAACACCCTTATAGAAAAGTTAGACAACAATATTAAATGGTGGTCTATGTATGCATGCTTGCTGGGTTTCTTCTATTTCTTTTCGTCCCCATTTATAGGGAAGACTATCAAACCGAGCTATTCAAATTTCAGTAGGTGGTAAGTACATGTCTCTGTATCCTATCAATGTGAGTACATTTGCACTGTCTCACATTCGTACACCTGTACTCATACAGTGTATGTAAGTTTGCATGGAAGCGTTAAGAGTCGAAACAAGTTTTAAATTTGTGAATTGCTTTTGTAGGTATATACTCTGGATTCTAGTTGCGGCTGTCTATCATCTTCCTAGTTTTCAATCAATGGGAGTTGATATGAGGATGAATCTGTCTTTGGGCTTTAATGTATTTGTCACTTCTGTTTTGTTTCTTCTTTTCTTCCACATTATATTCATTGGCCTTTGGTACATTGGTCTCGTGTCGCGTGTTGCTGGAAGGAGGCCAGCAATTTTGACCATTCTCCAAAATTGTGCTGTAAGTTACAGTAACACCATTTCTACTCATGATTTTATATTTACTCAGGATGTAGTACAGGAGAACCTTAAATGCTTATGCATCAATATATTATCCACTTTTGTTCATGTAGGTTCTTAGCGTAGCCTGCTGTGTGTTTTATAGTCATTGTGGCAACCGTGCTATTCTGAGAGATAGACAACTGGTCCGACGAAACTCTTGGTTTAATTTCTGGAAGAAAGATGAGAGGAACACATGGCTTTCGAAGTTCCTCCGAATGAATGAGTTGAAAGATCAGGTCTGCTCATCTTGGTTTGCTCCAGTTGGATCTGCAAGTGATTATCCACTTTTGTCCAAATGGGTCATTTATGGTGAGGTACATGTAGAACAAGAAAAGGTCCCCTCCCCTCCGCAACCAGCACCCCACAAAATAAAAAACACTTTTACTGTTTGCTTCTTCTTTTTCTGTTATTATTATGTTTATATACTTATTAATGTTTTAAGTTCTCAGTTAGCATGCAATGGTGCATGTGCTGGTTCATCGGATGAAATCTCCCCATTATATTCATTATGGGCCACATTCATAGGCCTCTACATTGCTAATTATGTAGTGGAGAGATCAACAGGGTAAGTGGTGATTGTAAAACAGATTAAAAAAATGAAACTAATGGAAAATGAGGAAAATATGTAACAAAAATTTTGTTAGATGGAATGATTTATGGCCGTATGCTTTTCAATTCTTTTTATAATTGCCTCATGCTCATTTGCTTCTTAAATAAATAGGTGGGCTCTTACTCACCCCCTGTCTGTTGAAGAACGTCAGAAGTCAAAGAAGAAGCAAATGAAGCCAGATTTTTTGGATATGGTTCCTTGGTATTCAGGGTATATGCTTTCTCTGTGTATCTATGTCTCTCCTCTCTCCTCTTTCCCTTCCCTTCTATTCTCGTGCGCAGGAGGAGCTGTGCTCACTTTGCTGATGTTTGTATTGCAGAACATCAGCTGATTTATTCAAGACTGTCTTTGACCTCTTGGTATCAGTAACCGTCTTTGTCGGCCGCTTTGACATGCGTATGATGCAGGTAATCTCATAGCTTCATGTTCTGTATTCTATCTTAGCTTTGAGATTATCCTCTCAAAATTTTGAATGCCTATCATGCACTTGAATCATTTCATTTTTCCAATATACATGGTAGCATTCAAGAAATTTTTTTTCATTGTTTTACTTTTCCAGAGAAACCATTTTTTCCATTTACTATTTTAATTTGTATGCTTCTGTGACTTCCCTTATATATATACACTTATATATATATATATATATATATATATTACAAATAGTGTCTAATTGGTCAGAAGTTTCTTGTTCACAGTAGTGTCTATATATTCCTTGTTGTCAGTAGTATCTCCATGGTACACTATTGTATGGTTGTCTTTTATAAGTCTAATTAATTAATAAATAGAAAGAAGAAAAATGTTTGTTTGATTATTGGTTGATCATGAAACATATATTCTAAGTTCAAAAATTGATCTCTTGTTTTCTTTGGTTGAAATGAGCTGTCTTTTTATTTGTCAATATTTACTTTGTTTTGAAATTTCTTCTGTAATTTAAATAAGGGCCATGATATAGTGACATTTATGTTTCCCTCTCCACTGATCAGGCAGCTATGGACAAGGTCCATGATGGAGCCAAACAAAAGGATCTTTTATTTGATAACTTTGCCAAGAAGGATGATTTATGGTTTGACTTCATGGCTGATACTGGCGATGGTGGAAACTCATCTTATTCTGTGGCTCGGCTCCTTGCTCAACCTTCCATTAATATTAATAGAGATGATTCCATGCTGAAGTTACCACGTGGAGACTTGCTCCTTATTGGAGGGGATCTTGCGTAAGTTTGACATTCTTATTTGTGATTAACATATGGCATCATTGGCATGGCCGATCAGTTATTAACTTATTATATAGATTTTTGTTTCATCGTAAATTATAAGTGATGATTTGTGAGCTTCTTTCTGTGGCTTAAATGATTACTCTAAAGTAGTTCATCAGTAGTGTATTCTTGACATGGTATGAAATGAAATTAATTAATTTTTGAGTCTCAAATTTCCAAACCCTTATAGACCAAATATCTGTTTACGCTTAAAAGTGCTAGAAAAAATCCAAATGTTGTTTGACTGGAATTTATAGTTAAGATTTCGGATATGGTGGCTATTTCTTTTTGTTATAGATCTTTACGGAAGGTAGTTCTCTTCAATGACCACTCCTGGAACCGGATTGATCTGAGATTAAATATCCCTGTTGTAAGTGTAACTAGAGTTTTGTGGACTACGTAAACCGATGTTTGAGGTGGGAAATGTGAATTTCATCAGAAACTTTGATGAGCAAGCACTATGACGAAACCACCACTAACAACGCTATTGCCCTCAATGCTGTCTGCATCATATGTTGCCCTGCCCTGGTCCAACATTGACTTTTCATTGCCACCATTTTCTCTGCTTACACCATTTCACTGACCAGTTGAACATTGGTCAGCTGCTCAGCTGGTGCTGTCTACTTTATTCCCTGGTTGAGATAAAGTCTGTGTTGGAACCTTGGTTATGATAATGTTAATTACCTAAATACATGAATATGCCCATGATGTTTCATTTGAAGATTCCATTAAAGTTTTGCCGATGTTTTTCATCCTTTCCCTTCGTATGCATATGCCAATCATGTTTTGTTCGGACCTTTGTTTGTCATGAGCACTTCAACCTTTCATTCCATTGGTTTTTTTTTGTTTTGTTTAGGCATTTTAATATAAAAGCATACCTGATAATGATAGTTTATCATGTTAAATATCTAATAATCTGTGAATTTGATATGTTTAGGTATCCTAATCCATCATCTTTCACGTATGAAAGGCGCCTCTTTTGTCCTTTTGAGTATGCTCTCCAGCCTCCTCCATGGTCTAAACAAGAGCATATAGCTGTAGATAAGCCTGAACTACCTCGTGGTGTGTCTGAACTGAAGAAATATGATGGACCTCAGTGTTTTGTCATTCCTGGAAACCATGGTTCGCTTTACTTCTTAGCATGAACGTCTTTGTAAAACCTATAATGTTAATATGGTTTAGTACATATTCTTTGTTTCTTTTTGGAATTACAGATTGGTTTGATGGACTTCAAACATTCATGAGGTATATATGCCATAAAAACTGGTTGGGTGGGTGGTTTATGCCTCAAAAGAAGAGTTATTTCGCTCTTCAACTCCCTAAAAGATGGTGGGTATTTGGTTTTGATCTCGCACTCCATGGTGATATTGATGTGTACCAGTTCAAATTCTTTACAGAACTTATTAAGAACAAGGTATTTCTTATTTTTCTTTTGCTTTTTAATTTCAATATGGTTTACTTAAAGTGGCACCCATAGCTTATCAAGTTGTGCTGCATTTTGTGAGTTGTTTCTTTTGTCCTTTGCCTTTTCTTTTAACTTTTTGGAGATGTAAATAGAAGGATCCAATTTTTGTACGCACGGCTTTTTTAATTGTTTCTATGGTTAACATTACACAAGCCATATGTTGGTTGAGGATGAGACTGGTGCTTTTGTTTTTCTAATAGTGAACTGGGGAGGATTCACACTAGACTTGCTATGAGTTCATATATATTTTCCCCTGTTTATAAAAGTAGAAATGTTGTATATTATGTCTTAGAATTGAGAGTTTCACCAATGTGATAGCTACGCCTGTGCTTGATGCATGTAAACGTACATAAACTATGTATATGCTTACTAGGGACACTGTTGAGCTTTTTAGTGTTTGCTTATATCTAATTTTTCAAGTTCCAAAAATTTTCTGATCGTAGTTAACATTCCCATCTCATTATGTTTCTTTCAGGTTAGAGATCAGGACTCTGTAATCATTATGACGCATGAACCAAATTGGCTTCTTGATTGGTACTGGAACGATGTTTCTGGAAAGAATGTTGCACACCTGATATGCGATTATTTAAAAGGGAGATGTAAGCTTCGAGTGGCTGGAGATTTGCATCATTATATGCGTCATTCATTTATTAAAACAGATGGCCCAGTTCCCGTGCAACATTTAATTGTAAATGGTTGCGGTGGGGCTTTTCTACATCCCACTCACACTTTTAGTAATTTTAAGAAATTTTGTGGAGTTTCTTATGAGACCAAGGCTGCTTATCCGTCATTTGAAGATTCAAGCAGGGTTAGTTTTGGTTTTTAACTTATTATGAGACCAAGATTGTCAATAAAAATTCACATTTATATTTATTTCCTCCAAATTCTTAGTCCTAATTTGTGTTTCTTGTTCTGTTTTCTCTTTCAGATTGCTCTGGGAAATATTTTAAAGTTTCGAAAGAAGAACTGGCAATTTGATTTTATTGGTGGAATTATATACTTCATATTGGTTTGTTCTATGTTCCCACAGGTGAGTCATTGATTGATTCTTCGCTGTTATTGAAATAACTTGTGCCTTACCAATCTTTGTTAAACTAGTGTTTTTCCTTCCTTGGAGCTTGCAAAATTGTTTTTATGTTTGCTTATCCAGTGATGGGATCGTACTCTGTTATTGTGACATGAAAATTGTAATTTTCCTTTTTGTTTTTGTAGTGTAAGCTTGGTCATATCCTGCGAGAAGATTCATTTTCGGGTCACGTGGGATCTTTCTTTCAAACCGTGTGGAATGCTTTTATGTACATGCTGGCACGCTCTTATGTATCTTTAGCAGGTGCCCTGCTGCTGCTAATTGTGGCAGTTACATTTGTCCCCTCTAAGGTGTCTCGGAAGAAACGATTGATGATTGGAGTTCTTCATGTGTCTGCGCACCTGGCTGCAGCTCTAATTCTTATGTTACTGTTGGAACTGGGTGTTGAGATGTGCATCCAGCATAAACTACTGGGAACTTCAGGTGAGATTTATATTCTCTGTTATTTTCCGTCCTTATCTGTTGTATTTGTCCATCTGATCACTTTTAATTATCTGATAATTGTTACCATTATGAAAATCATGTTCTTGGCTTTTGTATGCTGTATGATCTACTTTTTACTTTCAGGCTATCATACTTTATATCAGTGGTACCGATCGGTGGAGAGTGAGCACTTTCCAGATCCAACTGGCCTTCGAGCTCGTATAGAACAATGGACTTTTGGCCTTTATCCAGCGTGCATCAAGTATTTCATGTCTGCATTTGATGTTCCAGAGGTATGGAAAACTCTTTGCAAACTCGATATTCCTTTTCTTTGTTATATATTGACAATGAAGTAATATCATCAGGTTATGGCTGTCACCCGAAACAATATATGCAAGAATGGGATGGAATCACTATCTAGAGCTGGTGGTGTCATATATTATGCTTCCGTGTTCCTCTATTTCTGGGTCTTTTCGACTCCAGTAGTTTCTTTGGTGTTTGGAAGTTATTTATACATCTGCATTAATTGGCTTCACATACACTTCGATGAAGCCTTTTCCTCTCTCCGAATTGCAAATTACAAGTCTTTCACCCGATTTCACATCAACAGTGACGGCGATCTTGAAGTTTACACTCTTGCGGTCGATAAGGTAAGAAAGCAATGCTCAATGCTGGTTCTCTTTCCGATAACATATTCAGGCCTTTTCAAAATTAACATCCAAAATTAAAACGTGCAGGTCCCCAAAAAATGGAAGCTAGACCCTGAATGGGATCGGGAGCCAAAACAGCCGGAACAAATGAGCCACCTTAGAGAATTTCCGAGCAAATGGAGTGCGTCAGCTGGTCAACAAGATCCGTTAAATACAGTTAAAATCGTTGATCAGTTTGTTATTCGACAAACAGATAAAACTGATGTTGGAGCAAGTGATGCATCAGTAGTTAGCTGATCTGCGCTTTGCTCTACTTGTAATATTATTGTAGCTCCCTTCGTTTAGATAGCAACGAATGAAAAGCAATAGGAAAAAAAATGAGTTTGTGTTGTGATATTTTGCATCCCAAATTTTTTACCTGCCCGATTTGTACAGAAACTTCGTCATGCGCATCGGTTCCGGATTGATTCGTGTCGTCCACGCCATGAACACAGATTCTTAGGTACAACGATCGGCAATATATCCCCTTGTTTACACCCGGAACAAGAGATGTAGATACAAAAAGATATATTACTGGTTACTGTAGCAGAATATCTCATCTACAACGGAGATTAGGGTTCAAATTCTCCCTACTTTGAAGGCCAAGGAGGGCAAAGGAAGTGCATTTAGAACATCCAATCTTGTAAACACAATGAAATTTACAAGAACAAAAAGTTCTGCTGAAAAATACGAAAAAAATAGATAAAAAAGCTGGAGGATTTAAATAAAAATATATGAATCAACAAAAAATTTAAATAGAAAAAAATTGATTTTCTGAACTGAAGTCGTTAATTATGTACATTCAATCTGATGAGTCAGATGAACCCAAGTTAGTGGGTGAAACTGAAGAATGCAGTTGATAGTTTGCATGCATGAAACTCTCATACGACGTCCCTCGGAGTGTTCTCTCCACATCTTCCCAGTCCTCGACTTGTTTCAACACCGGCGTTGTATGTATCTTAACCTTAACCTGACGGCTCTTGAGCTCCCTGTGTGGTAACCTTAGGAAGTCTTGAACCTCATCCAGTTTCTGCAAAACCAAATTTTTAGTTGACAAGACGTTGAATAATAAAGAATCTGTTAATTTCAGAGGAATTCAGAACACGAGCGTAAAGAACTGTCGTCCAGGTGTACCAATAAGTGAGATCCCGAGCATTTTGATTTCAGATTACTTGAGCTCCAAGATGATCAATCGAACTATCTGCCCCAAATACCGAAATGATTTTGTTGTTTCTTTTAAGCATTTGTTTTTGTCGTCTCGCGTCCAGTGCTGTAGTCACAAAACAAAAATTTCCACCTTCTAAGTACTAGTAAGAACTAAACACAATTGAAAACTCAACCAAAGTGAGAACAAATAGTTTCTCGGGCATTAACCTCTCCGAGCTTGTTGAGCTTCTCACGAACACCTTTCAATAACTCCTGCACGTCCTCTTCCCATGCGCAAAATGCCAACTCCCTTCCTTCCAGCAACTTCTCAGATACCTAAAATTCACCAATCCCAGTTTCCAGAAGGCAAAAGTAGCTACTAGTCAGTTGATTTGGTCCTGGCAAAAACACTCAAAAAAACCTCATTTTTCCACACAAAGATCAAAACTATCATGCTTTAACGAAAGAGACTGAAAGTAGTTGCAATAACTTGGAGTCCTACTCCACATCAATGCAATGTACTCTAGAATTTACGCAAATTCACCAACACCACCTCAGAATTCGGAACAATCAACGTAAAATTCAAGACTTTGAATCATATGGGCAAAGATTGGAAGTACCGAAAAATCGAAAAGTACCTGTCTTCCAATGACCTGCCCACCAGCTATGTGTGAAAAGTAGATGTTGTAGAAGTGGCAGAGGAACAATGGGGCAGACTCTTCTGCCAGCCCCTCCAAATACTTCGCATATGAAACTCCTGGATTACTGGGTTCTGGAATCACATTGCCCCGCTGCTTAAACCATTCGAGATCTTCCGAGAGACTCTCCGATCTCTCCAATCCAGTCTTCCTAAAATATGCATCTAGATTGAAGAAAAATAAAATACCCAATTAATTTGAAGAAAAAAAAGACAGTAACTTGATGAAATGAAATCAGCCATAAACTCACAAGCGACGTCGTTCGATTCATCGACAATGCGCTCGACGGTGTCGAAGACGAGCTTGCTGTCCACCAAGTACTTGATAAACCCTTCCAAGCTCGGCCGCCAAGTCTCCGTTTCACCCCCGTCGCCGTCGGCATCCGATTCCGAGGTGTTGTCCTCGACGGGGGCATTATCGTCATTTTCACCATCACCGTCATCGTTATCAGAAGAGGAATTGTTACTGTTGGTGTTCAATTTCTTGCCGTTGATGTTGCGGAGCTTCATGGCGACGAACCTCATCTCCTCAGTGATGCCTTGCTCTCCCCTGGGTACTGCTTCCGGTACCTCATCCTCCTCCTCACCACCGGCGGCGCCGTACCGTTGTTCGCCGTCGAAATGGGCGGCGGAGAAAGAGACGTGGAAGCGGCGGCGCTCGAGTCGGAGCAGCGGAGCGGCGGGGCTCGACGACGAAACTTTCTGGTTGAAATTGCTGAGCATTCGACGAATGGGGGTGTGGGAAAGACGAAATTGGCGATTGATGGTGAGACGGTTTTCTCCATGAACGACATCGTTGCGCATTGCATAATTTGCATTGCAGAAGATAATGGTGTTATGTTGCAAACAGTGTCACGAGCACCCTTAACCCATCCCAACCTATATATCTACCAACTCATCCCAACCTTAAAATGTGGAGATTCTACCGTGAGGACGGTATTTCAAATTAATCATGCATAAGGAGAATAACGTATCAATTGTTAGTAAGTTTGTCTCATCTAAGGGGGTAAGAAATAAATTGATTAAGAACTCGCTGATATTAATATTCAAACTTAAAACTTTTCACTTACAAGTGAAGAAGAATAATACTAAACTGTAACACTATCGTAATTTATTTTCGATGCAGGCACCACCGTACATGATAAATGACCTTAATATCGATAACTCACAACGGCACAACAATCGTAATTTCACAAGAACAAATAGTTGAGTTTTGGATTATCACAAGAAGAAAAAAACCTTGAAAAAGAAAATCCAGTATGAAAGTTGAGAGAATAGTCTGAGTTGAGAGTTTCTTTTCCAATCGGAATAATTACTTGTCTAAGTAAACCAGACAAACAATTGCAACTTTTATTCATTTCGTTTCGTATAAATCAAATCTTCACTAACACGGAGTTTTACATGGATATGATATCATACAACTGCTTTGTTTATGGTGCTATTCTACAAAAAATAAAACAATGCTAATGGGTACAATCAAGAACGGCAGCGATTCCGGAGAATGTACAAAACAATCTGCCGTCTTTCCGCTTCTGTCGATGGCAATTGTAGTTTCACGTAACAAGTCCGCTTACGGGTTGGAGCGGATTGGTTTCTGTTATACATACAGGATACCTGACTTAACTCTCATGTGTCAAAAATATGCTTTTTGGTTCCGCTTACCGCCCAGGCGTGACTCACGGTGACCTGATCCCTGTTGGATCAGAAACCACGAGGGACGCCTGGTGGTGTTGGATTTGGACGATTCATGAACATAATTTCTGAGGCATGCCTGCTTTGCACTATTGCCTGTTCATTTCTGGCTTGCTTTCAGCTTCCGCAAAAACTGTAAAATCTCTGTATATGAGGGATCGGTGCGGCTGAGTGGTTTGCATGAGTTTATGTGATCTGTTGAGTCTAATACCTGTCCCAAAGTTACAAAATTAATGCTGAAAATAAAAAGACATGTCGAGCATGGAACACTAACGAAATTAAGATATTCTAGTTTGTTATATATCATTTTTAGGGGATGACCTAATCGATTTATTTATTTGGTTTTAAAGCAAGTTAGTCAACCCTAAACCTAATCATTCTTTAAGTGATCTATACTTGTTCACAATCATACTTACAACGAGATCACCAAATCCAGGATATGCTGATTCGATTGATACAATTTCCATCCGGAAGGCCCATCCGCCATAGCCTTCAACGATTGGAGTTACCTTGGTCTGCAAAAGGAGTCATGACTCATTACATGATTAACAAGTTCACAAAGACGCAAATAGACACAAGCACAGCCTCACAACTTTAGACTACCTCACAGAAACTAAGGACTTGAAGCGTCCCCTTCTTGTGAAGGCGGCGGATATAGTCATTAAGCTCTACTAATCTTGGAGATCCACTTCTTAGCTCCCCTATCTAGGAAACATCAAGAAATAATTAAATAATTCTATTAACATTAATACGACAAGATTTGCTGGTTGTAACATTGAGAACCAGCGATGTGATACTATTGGAATGGAAAACTTTGTGGTTGTAAAGATCATATACTAACAGTTGGTGCTGGGCGAAACACCAGTCCCATCCTCCAAGGCATGTCTGCAAGTTTGCTTCCAAAATGCGGGCAGCTATAGAAAACCTGAAGCCAGCATAAAACACAAGAGTTATCACATAAAGAGTAATAATACACAGGTGGGAGAAGAACTGTACTGTAAGTGAAATATTCAATTATAGAGAGGTGCATACAACTCCAGCGGTGTTTTTCACAAGGTTATCAATATTATCTGCTCTTGCTTTATGTAATATCTGCTTGACGACCAGACCTCCCATGCTGCAAACAAGAGGAAGCTAGTACATTATTTAAAATCATCTATAAAATATAATGTATAAAACCTTAGTAATAAAAGGATGCTGTGAACCGTTCATAAAAAAAGAGAAAGATTGCATTAATTACTGCACTAAAATTTGAAGGGGGTAAAGGAAGACACTTTAAAAGACTATATCCTTCAGTTGTTAGACTGTCTACCACATTTGGTTTTTACCAGAAAGTTCATTTAAAAGAAAAACGTCCGCAGCACCTGCTCCCTTTACTTTTGTTTCGTTTTTCTTTTGGGATACAAAAAACTCTATGACAACACACAAGACCTCAAAGACATCCTTAAATTGGTCAACGTTAGAAATCGAAATTGAAAAAACAAAGAGGAGTTTATTTTTATATGTGTGTGTGTGTGTGTGTGTGTGATGACTGAAAAAAAAAAAATATATATATATATATCTATCTTATGGCTACTGTATGAGAAAACCGAAAATGGGACACCAGTGGGATAGATTTAAACACACAAGCAACACTGTACAGACCTGTGCGTCACGAAAACAACAGGTCGATTCCCAATACCTGCAGAAACAAGCTTCTCTAATAGCATTGAGCTAACTTCCTGCACAATCCAAAACAAAGGAAGACAATTGGAAACTGCAAGGAGCTAAAAACATCTCCATCAACTAGAGACTCAAACATGAGTTGTTGGCGAAACCAAAGATCATTGCCTAAAATTAACTCATGCACAGATTCATATGTTCTACAAATCAATACAGTCCCGAAGTCATTAGAATCTGAAGCACTAGCGCCCTTAACACCCTATAGAAACCAATTTTCGTCAACCAAAAACACTAACCTGAAGAGGCAGGCTAGCACCAGACCACTGTGTTAAATTTGTCTGCATATAGCATTCGGATAAAGAGTTAGATGCCAATGAGGGGACCAGCCTATAAAAGAAATAATAAATTTATTACAACCATCACCAGACCAAACCTTGTATTTAAGGGTAAACATACGAGCTCGAGGGAAGTCAGATGAAAGCCATTCACCTGGCCAGAATGTACCTAGCTTTCCTGCTTCCTGGTCAATCTTCTCTACTAAGCCAGACTTGGTGGATGACTTGTCCTCGGATATGCGCCAAGTCTTATAAGGGCCTCCACGGAGGCCATGGACAAAAACAATATCCAGAAGAGGCTCCCTTGTGTCTGCACTACTTTGAGATCCATTCACAGAACTGGATATGTTAACATCATCTGAAATTCTGCTCACAGATTTATCCACACCCTCAACAGAAATTGCCTCATCCGAAGAGGATGCATCGCTTGGACTTGTGTCCTGGTCACCTTTTTCAGGGCAATTCCAATGGGGAAGTTCAGGATTGATTAAGAATATCATGTCATCATAACGGGGACAATTTTTGTTTCCGTTTGCAATACCAGAGTCGGCAACGTCACCATTTGCAGAATCTTTATTAATTTGGCGACCACAAAATACATTTACGAGTGTTTTTCTAGCATAACTTTGAATTTTAAGATCACTACAACCTGCGATTTTACCATTAGCGCAATCCTCGAGCCATTTACACCAAGTTTTATCTGCTATTATGACTCTCTGGACTTTTGGATGTATCGAGAGAATTGTTAACAGCCTAGCTGCATGCCTACGGATGTGAGCTGTAGGTGGAACTTGGACACTAGATGGACTATTACTATCCTGGAATAGATGACTCTTTAGGAACAATTGAGGTTCGCTCTTGTGCCTCAAGCGTCTTAGAAGCATCATACGCTTCTATGGCAGCAAGTTTCTCATAATCATCACGTAACAAAAACCGTCTCAGCAAACTTAAGACTCCAAAATCTGTTAGTTTCTCCTGATATAAAGAATCGTCAGCACAAACTTCAGTCAGTGCTTTGATTCCCTTCAGAGTTGCCACTGCAGAATCTGCCGCATTAACCTTAGGCAAACTATCTTTCTCTAGAGTTTTAAATGGCCCAGAAAAAGGTTCAGCGGAAAGAAGATCTGCCAGTGGAAATGTATCAGTAGAATCAGTGGTTGTTCCTAGCTGATTTCCTGCTAGATTAACAACAGCTACCACTAACTGATTAGAAGTCTGTGCAGCGGAAAGCATGTTTGACTGATCAATTTGAGTCTGCAAAAGAAAAATTAAGGTTACTATGTACATTCTAAACAAAACTAGATTAGAGATATGAAACTTTAATTGGTTTAAGCATAATGCAAAATTGGAAGCAACCCTCTTAAAGGTACAAAAGAATTTGCAAACATGGAAATAAAAATGCTGACCTTCACTTTGACAGATCTAGCCTGAGGTGTTCCTTTAACTGATGATGCCTTTTTCTCAGTCAGAATTTCAGTAAGAAGAATAGCTAACCATCCCTGAGAAATGGGTACAGAGTATGGTCCATAATCTTCGAGAATGCGAGAAAGGATTTTTATTGCTGACAAACGTATAGTGTCAGAGGAAGATTTTCCAAACACCCAAGGAAGCAAAACAGCAGACCACCTTTGGCCTTCTTCAAGAGGTAAATGCAAGTCCCCAGAACAAAGCAATTCCAATGCCTTTGACAATGCTTCTTGCACATGATCATGCTTCATCGTCCGCTTCGCAGTGTCTCTCATCAGATGAAGACCCTTCTCCATCACAATCTTCTGTGCTTCAGGGCTCTCTCAACAGAAATCAAGAATGCTGACAAAGCCACCCGAGCCAAAGGAATGTCTTCATTTTTAGTTGCCTGATAAACAGTAGAAAGAAGACTGGAACTCCAATCAGAAACTGAATCAATCAGGGGTAGTTTCTGATCCTCTAATAGCAAGCGAGCCACCAAACTTCCATGCCATTTAACTGATCTCTCAGGCGCCATTAAAGCAGTCATGATAGCTTGCCCATCAGCATCCAGTTCCTGTATCCGCGATCTATTCACTTCCGATGCCATCGCCCAGTTAGCCAATGCCCAAGTAGCAAAAGGAACAGCAACATGTTGACAATTCAAATCATCCCAGAGGCCAGGAACAACAGCAGAAGACAGATTACTTTGTGCAATCGAACTTTCATGCGTATTTTGCAGGACAAGATTATGAGGAGTAACCCTTCCTGATCCCACCTCACTCGTTTCAACACTTCCCAGCTTCATAACTCTATTTGTTCTTGAAAGGCCTAAAACTGATGTACCCCCAAGAACCTTAATACCAATCCCCTTGATTCCAGTGTCCCCATCTTCGTCATCATTTTCACGTGACTCGTCCAAACGCATGCCACCATCTTCAATAACTTGAATGGCAGCTGCTATATCCCGTGTTTCAGCATTCGCTGACAGGGATGGTTTAAAGGACACTTCTCCTAAACTATCACAGTTGGCTGTGACGATATCCATAATGGCAGCTACAAGCATGCTCCTGCCTTTCAAGTGTTCATAAACATCGAGTGAACTGCGTCTTGCACGCTGCTTGGACAGAAATTCCATTGATTATATTAAAACAAAACCAAACGCATCAACAAACTCGGTTATGAAGCTCGAGTGATTTTAATTAAAATGGGGCTCAAAGGATCCTACCGATACTCACTCACTGGAAATTGCCTCAAAGCATTTCCCTATTGAAAGTTATCGTCTTTATCATGTTGATCTCGGTTACTATTCTAGTGCTCCGAATTCACAATAGAAGGACAATGCCAACGTTCATAACGAAAAACGAACTCAATGCGCAAATGCTAAAGGCACAAAATTTTCCTAATTTGAAGAATTTAACGAAATTCAAGAGAAGAATGGAGAAATCTCACCTTCTTAGACGGCTGAGGCTGGCAGGAGAAAATGAACTTTAAGAGATTGGGAACGGCACCGGGCCTGCCGAGCACGGCGGCGGACACATTAGGATCGGCGATCAAGAAGGCCAGAGCTCTAGCCGACTCGGCCTGGGTCCCACAGCCATCTCTTGGGACCGCCACCGACTCGAGCAGCCAATCGACAACGACGCCACCTCCAGCCCCAACAAGGGCGAACCTTCGGCTGGCATTGGCGGCGGCGATATCGGCAAGGAGCGCGGCGACCCGGAGCTCGAAGCCGGAGCGGACCTCGTGGTTAGCAGAGGACAAGACGGAGCTGAGAGAGTGCAACAAAACGGAGGCGGCGACGCCGGTCTGTTTGGCGTGGTGGAGAAGCTTCCTAAATGACTCGGTGGAATTGAGGACGGCGTGTCGTACGCCGTCATATAGAGAACTTGACGACTTGTCGTCGGAGTCCGTCGAAACGAAGACGTACGAGGCGATCAGGGCGGAGGCGAGAGTGCCAGAGATCGCGATGGCGGCGGTGCGAGGGAGAGAGGAAGAGAGAGGGATAGGATATAGAGGGTTTAAGCGGCGGCGGAGAACAGAAGGAGGATGCTGGACTTGATTGGAATTCTTGAGATTGCTGAGGGGCTCGTTGTGGTTTCTGGAAGCGGATGAGGAAAATAAAAGGGCGCGATTGTGATGACGGCGGTGGTGGGGGAAGAGGTGGTGGCAGTAGCGGCGGGTTGTGTAACAGAGGCGGAGCAACATTTGGGGAATTGGGAATTTGGGGATTGTGGGAAAACGATTATTTTAAGTTTGGGGAAAAGAAAAGAAAACGGGGAGAAGAGAAGGGGAGTGAAGGTGGTGGCGTTGGGGAGGGAGGCTTTCCATGGCGGGAGGAAATTTGGCGATTTATACGGGGAACTGTTCAGTATAAAACAAGGGTCTCCGGAGAGAGGAATTTTCTTGGGGGATATGCGAACCTCTGCCTCAAGTAACGGTATGGGCTGGTAAACTGGGCCTGATGGGCCTCGGCTACGCTTGGTTTTTCCTTTTTTTTTTTTTTTTTGTCAGAATTTTCTCTTTATTTTCTTAAAGCCCAAGTTTATGCCCTTTGCTAAGTCAGAATTTTCACCTTGCAAAGGGAATTGTCTTTGGGAACTCCACCCGTAAAACATGAACATCAAATTGCAAAATTATTTTTTTATTTTATAAAATATATTTTATTATTATTAAATTTTCTATTTTTTTAAACCATTTTATGATTTTTTTAAAATAAAATTTTAAAACCGACTTAATTTCGGAAGTTGGTGCTTATGACTGTTTCAAATCCAATGGGTGATAAACGCCACGTGTATAGCCGTTGGGGGTCTGGGTTTCTTTAACAACATCTGGGGAGCCCACAACAATAGATGTTGTCGATCCACTCTCTCTAATGCGTGCGTAATACATACGCTTGACACAAAATACAACAAACGTGGTTCACGTTAGCCAAGCCAACTTGCAAAAAATTGGGCAGATCTTGCACGGGCATTTGGTCAAGCTTGACTTGGCCCACCACTTGCCTTTTGATTTTTGGGTCGCTAGAGCAACTTCTGAGGTTAAAGGGCAAAAATGAAAGGAACTCATTTTATTTTGTTTTATGTAGAAGTCATATGGATTTTGATTTCAATTTCGAAAAGAATACGAAATCCATCAATTCCACGTATTATCGTTATGTAAGGTGAGAATAATATTGGTGAGGTTAGTAGCATGTATTAATCTATTTAAACATGACAAATACTTAGGTCTACCTCAAGAAAGATAATTATCATTTAATAGACAATTTAAATAAATACACGGCTAACACTTATTGGACTGGTGACGCAGCTCGAACTATGTCTTGAGGTAAGAGAGAATATGTCCTCACCCTAAGGAGCACCTTCATTTCCACCCTAATTGATATAGACCAATAATAAGTTTAAACCTGTCTTTTTCAATTAAAAAAAAAACCAAATAATTAAACAAGAAGATGAAAGTATCCTTCAATTGTTTTACCCAAAAAAAAAAGTATCCTTCAATTACAACAGAATAATTCGTTTGTTCCTTTTTTTCAAACCCCGAATTGAATTTAGGGTTTGGCTTATTTCAATAGTTTGATTTAAAACCAACATCTGACTGTTTTGGTTCCTTTTTAGGGCATGTGTTAGAGTCTAATTATTTACAAGCTAAGAAATGATATTTTTCGCACTCTTTAAAAAGAAGAATTTGAGGTCCTATGGATAAAATTACATATTAACCTATGTGTCAACCTGATATTGTTGAATTGGCTACTGCTTACTGGCATATGTAACACCAATTGGTTGACAATGACATGGAATAAATTCAATCGCTTTTTCTGTTTGTTGAACTGAATTAATGAAACACGGCTGCATGACATTGAATAAATGAAATATATAGTTGTGGTACAAAAATTTGATGTCTTGCTTATCAGAAATTGGCGGAGACTGAGGTATTTATAGATCATAGGGCCCACCACATGTGTAGGGTTTGCCATGCACGTGTCATCGTCTAATTGGCCAAGCTGTATCATTTATTGGATGGAGTAGAAAATAATTATCACGAAGATATTATTGAATAATAATATTTTGTAGAGTCTGGCTCTAACAGAAATTTGGTTGTGATTCTTTACTTGACTTTTTTGAGGGAGTGGTCTTCATTTAATTAAAGATAAGATTTGGTGATTAATCTTATCTTTAATATGTTTGACTTTTCTTGGGGAGCTTGATGAGATTGTAGTGAGTGGTTCAAGTTTTTTGTTTTTTTTTTTGGTCGTCAAACTATAGATTTGTTATATTAGGAAGCCAACAGGGTTGAACCCACGCCCGTGGTGCACTCCTCTCCACCACCGTGGTAAAGGGCCACTTGCGAGCAGTTCAAGTCTTCAACAAAGTTGAATTGCGTGTGTAATAAATATGGTGTCACCAATTGAATAAGAGCATTATCGTCATTCGTTGGTAAAAATGTATGTATCAGCTCTAAAAATTTTAGGATTATTTTTTGTTTCACAATAGTTATTCCCAAATTTTATGTCAATAGTTATTCCCATTTATGCATGAGCATATATATAAAGGTAAGGTGATGCTAGAGAGACCAAATTTTGAAACTTAATTTTGTAAATTAAATGATATGGTTGTTGATAATTGGATTGTTACTTAAGTGTTGATTAATGTACTTATTTTACTATTGGGACACACCATTTAGTTTATAAATTTGGTTTAAAAATTTGGTCTACCTTGCATTACCCTATATATAAGCCCTTGAGGCACTACATGAACATTTACAAGTCAATGTTGCATGCAGGAGTATATTACATACGCAAGAGCCTCATCAAGCTGGACATTGGCTCCATAAAATTTGGTAGGAGATTCCAGTCATCGAAATGTATAATGCCAGATGATCGGAATCGAGAAAAGTAATACGAACCATCTATTTACTTATTATAGTTTTTTTCTTAAAAAAAGAAAAAAAGAAGGGATAATTTGATATAGATCCAATTTTGTGAGCCATTACTATAATTAGTCCATTGCATTGAAATAGATCCAATAATTGATATTCCACGTAAGCTTATTTATAATTTGTACCATATTTATCCCTTAGACTTATAAATTGTAGTAAATATTCAAAATTTCTTAATTATATAATTATTTGTGATTTAACTAATCCCTTAATTGTAGGATATATAGCAATAAAATCTCAACCCCCAGTCCATTTCATCCCTTCTTTTTTTTTCTTCTTCTAAACAATTTCCTTTGTTAGATCTTGGAATCAATCATCCTCTTTCTTCTATCATATTTCATGGGTGATATTTTGTGTTCCTCCCTCCAAATTCTTTCATGACAATTTCAGTTTTTACATAGCTTTCACAATTTTTTTACATATTCGTTCGGGAATACAGTATCAATTGCAAGCAATAATACAGTATCATGCATTTATATTTGCTCTATTATATTTTTTGCGTATCATAATGGTAAACTGAAACTTAGTATTTGTTCCTTTTTTTTTTGTTTAGTATTTGTTCCTTTAATAGAGGTATATTATATCATATTTCTATTCTAATGTTCTGCCATGGAGGTTCAGCATTTTTCTTCCTATACAATAGGTAGTTTATTTTTATTTTGTTGGTAGATTATATCTATTTTGTAGGTATAAAGCATTTTTCTTCCTATACAATAGGTAGTTTATTTTTGTTTTGTAGGTAGATTACATCTGTTTTGTTGGTATAAAGTATTTTTCTTTCTATACAATAGATAGTTACTAAATTATATCGGTTTTGTAGGTAAACATCATTAGGTGGTTACTAGATAATATTTTAGTTAGTATTTAAATATTCAAAATTAAAAACTGAATAAATGATACAAAAATTAAAGAATTTAAATATTTTTATCTAAAAGGGCACAATTGGTATAAAAATATGTAATTGGATAACTGGACTTAGTTAAAAAACTACCTTTGTTTTTGGACCTAGATCGAAAAGCCCCAAAAAAGAAAGAGGACAACTGGTGGCAAGTCATGGTTATCCACCTATTCTAGGGGCCGGAAAGACTTACAGAGACATTTAAGGCTTCCCCTGACCACAAGTCTGGGGGAGGCTGAAATAAAAATTCCTTATAGAGATTATTATACAAAGTGTTAAATAATATAAACAATTACTGATCATAAACAAAAATTCCTTGAATTAGCTATGATGTAATTTGTGTGGAAATTTCTGTATAATTCTTCTGGAGTCAAGTATCTCTCTAATCGTATATGGGAGCTTGCCGGATTGTTGTGTAACGTTTGGTTACTCAATCTATAAAGACTAGAATTAATTGTCAGTCCCACCTATAATTAAAGAGTCAATTAAATATAGCTATACATTAGTTAATTCGCCTAATTTCTGAAGGAAAAGCTCGGCAATTCAGGGAGGTTGCATATTTCCTGGAAGATGGGTTACAAAGCAGAAACACGCATGCACGAAAGTTCCAGTCTATAAATACCAAGACTACGTCTCTCAAAGCATAACTCAAAAATCTCTCTCTCTCTCTCTCTCTCTCTCTCTCTCTCATCTGATGGAAAGAAGCGGTAGCGTAGAGCGCCCCCCAGTCTTAGGAAAGATAGTCCGAGTTCTGAGTATCGATGGGGGCGGAATAAGAGGCCTCATTCCGGCATGTTGTAAACTAAAAACTGAGTTTGCTGCAGAATGAGTAAAAGGAATGCGATACTGAATTATTGACTTGAAGTCTAATTAAATATAAATGCCAATAATTGAAAGCTAGAAAATAAAGCAACATCTAATCCCACGACTAACAACTCCTACTAATTTGGGATTCTCCTATGGAATAGGTAAAAGCAACATACTTCCTAACAAATAGGAATTTATTGAAAAACAAACAACTAAATATCTTAACACCCTTCCTTAAACTGAATGCCATCTACGCAATCAGTTTAAAAAGGAACTTGAACAAACTCCAAGTAATCCACGCAGCTTCTCAAATGCCTCCAGCTTTAGAGTTTTGGTCAGGATATCTGCAACTTGGTCTTCACTTCGACAATAAACCAAATCAATGGTTTTTTCAGTTGTAAGATCACGAAGAAAATGATACCTCACATCTATATGTTTGCTTCTTCCGTGTAAAACTGGATTCCTGGATAGTTTGATAATTGAACTATTATCACAATGAATCACAGTAGGCCCATGTTGATAAAAATGTAACTCTTCAAGAATCCTTCTCAACCAAATTACTTGACATGTAGAAGTTGTTGTAGCTATGAACTTTGCTTCAGTTGTGGACAAAGTAACAACCTGTTGCTTCTTTGATGCCCATGATGTGGCACCTGAACCCATCATAAACACATGGCCAGATGTACTCCGCCTATCATCCAAATCACCAACATAATCGCTGTCACTGAAACCAGTCAAAATAGATCCTCCATTTTTCTTGTAGAAAATACCGAAATCTGTTGTTCCCTTCAAGTAACGAAACACTCTTTTAGCAGCTCTAAGATGCAGCTTCGTTGGTCTTTCCATATACCTGCTAATCAGACACACTGCATACATAATATCGGGCTGAGTGGCTGTCAAGTACATTAAACTTCCAACAATTTGTTTGAAGTAAGTACTATCAACCCTCTCTCCATCAAGATCACTTGTGAGCTTCAATCCCGGTTTAGTTGGAGTCCCAACTGGATTACAATTCTCCATGTGAAACCTCTCCAAAACCTCCTGAACATATTTCTGTTGCCCAATAAAAAATCCAGTGGTAGTTTGTATTACTTCTATACCAAGAAAATATTTCATCTTTCCCAGATCAGTCATGTCAAATTCAGCTATCATAGAATTCTTAAAATCAACAAACATAGCCTCATCATTGCTCGTGAAAATGAGATCATCAACATATAAGCAAACTATCAACATTTTACCTCATTCTCCATACTTGATGAATATAGTGTGCTCATAAGGACATTTGCTGAAACCTGCCTTTTCAAAGTGTGCTTCTATACAACTGTACAAGGCTTGAGGTGTTTATTTCAGTCTTATGTTCATTACCTTTTATCACATAACCAGGAGACTACTCAATGTAGACTTGCTCAAGTAGTTCACCATTAAGGAAGGCCGATTTCACATCAAGTTAGAAGACGGGCCAATTTTTCGTTATATGATAAAGATTATCATAGCTCTAGCAGGACCAAAATACAAAGGAAAATATCTGCATGGCTTGATCAGAGAAAAACTGGGCAACAAAAGACTGCACGACACATTGACTAATGTTGTCATTCCCACGTTTGACATCAAGAATCTCCAGCCAACTGTCTTCTCCAACCATAGGGTACTTCACCTTCTTTATGATATATTCACTATTTCCAGATTTTTTAGTATATGCCAGAATTGTATGTGGAAGCACTGTAAAATTTGTTCATGTCCAAAAATTATTTAAGCAAATTACTTATATGGTTGTAATATAATATGATATGCTTACTATTTTGATTGACAAGTGAAAAGGAAGCCATTCTACGATGCCTTACTCTCTGACATATGCATTGCAACCTTAGCAGCACCAACTTATCTTCCAGCTCATTATTTTAAAACCAAGGACGCTGCAGGCAGAGATAAAGAATTCAACCTTATAGATGGCGGCGTGGCTGCAAATAATCCGGTATGTATAATATTAGAGGAGGAGTTATATATATTGCCAGAGACTCTCAATCTACACCATTGCTTTTAAAAGTAAACTTAGCGTTTAGAATAACTTAAAATACTTTGTCTTGCAGACTTGCTGTTTTTGAAATGACAAACGAAATAAAGAAGGAGAATCCAGATGTCTTTCCTGTGAAACCTGTGGACTATGGGAGATTTCTAGTGATATCATTAGGAACTGGCTCATCAAAAGCTGAACTGAAATACCATACACGTTCTGCAGCAAAATGGGGCCTGTTGAATTGGTTAACCAGCGGTGGCTCCACCCCAATCATTGATGTTTTCAGTCAAGCAAGCGCGTATATGGTTGATCTTCACCTTTCTGGAGTTTTCCAAGCCCTTCCTTCTGAAAAAAAAAACTATCTTAGAATTCAAGTACTGAACTTGTCATACGAAATGCATTTATAAAAAGTAGGTATAAAAAAAAGCTGATCTCAAAAATGTGTTTGGTAAATACTTAAAAAGAATTTTTTTTCACAGTTTTGGATGAAAAAAATTGAAAACGTGAAGCAGCAAAAATGAGCTTATTCTCACAGCACAGCAGAAACAGTTTTTTTTTAAAGCACAACAATACCAAATAATGATACCGTTCATGGGACCATATCTTCTGTGGATATAGACACAAAGAAGAATTTGGCCAATCTTGTGAAAGTTGGTGAAGGGCTATTGAAACAACAAGTTTCTCGGGTTAATTTGGACAACTGCAAATTTAAGGCTTCTAATCATGAGACAAATGCAGAGGCTCTTATAAGGTAGAACATTTATCGTTAAACTTGTAGATTTATTTATGTAAATGATGATTAGTGGGAAGTTGTAACGTAATTAACTATATAATTAACTATAATTTTCAGGTTTGTTAAACTACTCTCGAAAAAGAAGAGGAGTCGCCAAGCAGGGTCAACCAACAGGCATGCTGAAAATACTTACTGATTGATTGTTACCCTAAGACGATAACAAGTCGTAATTCTTTAAGTTATACTGTTTGGAAATGTAAATTACAATATATTATTGATAGTTCGAGGGTATGGGGGCAAATGGCCACCATATATACTTCACTCTCTTTCAATATTTGTTTGTGTTCGAATAAATCCTGTTGGGATATCACTGTAATAGATCTCTCTGTATTCGATATATTCATTATTTTTGTTAATTTGTTGCTTGTTTGTTGGTTCCTCAATAAAATTAAGCTTTCATTTTAAAAACATGGACTACCGTCTACATGTGGATGCAAATTTCTTCATTCTTATTCTTGGACGAAAATGCACCTACAAAAACAATTAACACCTTAGGTCAAGGCTAAGAGCCTCACGCGTCCACGATGAATTAGGTGGGGGAGGGGAGCTTTGGCCGAAGAACCTCCGATGCCAAAGTTAGAATTTTTTAGGACAAAGTGTTTAGAGAATTTAGAGAATTTTACAAGAGGATTCCAATTAGGTTTTTGGAAAAATGGAGTGGTATTTATAGGGGTGTGGCCGGCCCCTTTTGGAGAGGTGGGAACCGGCCACATTTAGTGGTTTTAGGGTGTAATTATAATATTTTGCAATTAATTAGAAAATTAATTGATTAATTAGAAAATCAATTAATTAATTTAGGTAATTAATCCTATTTTGAATGAATATTTGGAGGTTACCTTATGGGGGGATTTGATGACGATGGATGAAATAGATTTTGAATAAATACCTATTTTGATCACTTTTGACTCCACATTATAGTTCTTCATCATGTACGCAAGAGTATCAAAAATACGATTACAAGAAGCAGGCATCCTTGTCACGCAACATTACGTATATATTTGGAGGATATTAAACCGAATATGCAGAGTGAAATGATGAGATTTTGGGATTAATTTCCTGAATTCCCACATACAGCTTTTTCTTTCTTCTTCTTTTCTTTTTATTTATTTTTGAAATTTTCGAGCTTCCTTAATTCAGTGCAAATCACGGTAATCACCTCTTATTTTGTGGCAGAACACAGACCTTAAAGATATGGATTAGCGTGAAGTGGAAAAAATGGCACGAATACGATGTTTGTTGTAGTTTGACTGCACATCAATTCAAAAGCGTATGTGTGTTATGTGGGTCCAAAATTGACATGCCATACTAAAGCTATGTTAACTCCAACAAGCCGAAAAATAAAAAACCTTAACTTTCGGGATATGCAACAACAAATAACCTTCTTTGAACGTCTCTCCATTCTTCTAGTTTACATCAAGCTACTCCTCCATACATGATGACATAAACATCATTTTGTCGTACAAAAGTCATAATCATAGCCGTTCATTCTCTTTGATAATCATTATCTAAAGATCATCTTTAGAAAAAAAATCATTCAATTTGAAGACTGTTAGCATTCATATATATAGATCATACAAATTGACCGTTTAACATAAGTATGTTGCTTAATTATCACCATAACCATTGATTTGTTCAACACTTATGAATGATTAAACGGTCTTTAAATTGAATGAATTTTTCTAGATATGAAAATGAAGGGTTCTGGTTATGAAGTTTATATGTGAGACTATATTAGAGCTGCACACTTGTATGTAACGTCTCTTATAGATTAAGGATTGTAGATATTGATTTTAATAATACTTGTACGCTAATGAGGAGAGTGTATTACTAGGTTTTTATAACTATAGAAGTCCTGATACGATTAGTAAACCTAATCAGATATGAATCTAAAGTTTAGGCGATAAAGTCTTGTTTGAGTAGAATTACATGATGGGAAGTTCCCTACTCGGATTCTACCTCTATTACTATATAACAAGGGTCACTGCTCTCACATTCAACACTCAGAAATAACCCTTCTAGCCCCATTGAATAGAGTTGTGATAAGATGAGTGAAGGAGAGTAAAAGATCATTTGTTTTTGCTATGGAGTTGTCATGATACAAGGAGAGATGTAGATACTCAAAAGATTGCTCAACAAATCGCGGTTCTAATCCAGATAAGGGTTTTTAGTTGATTATGAATTTCATTCTTACACTATACAATGAAATGTTTCCACGTTTCCATTTAAGAAGGAATGCATTACAACATACCGGACATTTGGTTAATTTTAATTCTTGTGAATGTAAAGAATGCATTTAAGAAAGAATGCATTACAACATACCGGACATTTGGTTAACTTTTCGCTGATGTTGGGTTAGGCAAGATAGTGTGCATTCCCTTTTAGACTCAAATTTACTGTTTGGAGATTATAGCAGTTCAAACTTCAAGCCATTGTTTTTCGAAACTAAAATAAATATTGTCTTTCCCTTTCACAACATACCGGACATTTGGTTAATTTTTGTCACATCCCGGTCCAGGATGGATCACTTCCCGAGCTCGCTCCACCACTGAAGCACGATATTGTCCACTTTGGGCTTACCATTCCCTCACGGTTTTGTTTTTGGGAACTCACGAGCAACTTCTCAGTGGGTCATCCATCATGGGATTGCTCTAGCCCCCTTCTCGCTTAACTTTGGAGTTCGTACGGAACCCGAACCCAGTGAGCTCCCAAAATGCTTCGTGCTAGGTAGGGATGAGAATATACATATAAGGATCACTCTCCTGTGCGATGTGGGATGTCACAATCCACCCCCCCTTAGGGGCCCAACGTCCTCGTCGGCACATCACGACCAGGGTTAGGCTTTGATACCAAATGTCACATCCCGGCCCGGGGTGGATCATTTCCCGGGCCGCTCCATCACCGTAGCACGATATTGTCCGCTTTGGGCTTACCATTCCCTCACACTTTTGTTTTTGGGAACTCACAAGCAACTTCCTAGTGGGTCACCCATCATGGGATTGCTCTAGCCCCCCTTCTCGCTTAACTTCGGAGTTCCTACGGAACCCGAAGCCAGTGAGCTTCCAAAAGGTCTCGTGCTAGATAGGGATGAGAATATACATATAAGGATCACTCCCCTAGGCGATGTGAGATGTCACAATTTTAATTCTTGTGAATGTAAAAAAAATAAAAATAAAAACATAAGGAGATGAAAGTCCTAATTCAACAGCGAGAGGGTGTTTCAAAACTTACAAACGAAGAGAGATAATTCATCTCACCTTAAATAAATAAATATAGTATGATTGGATAAAACCATCAATTACGTGTCGTCCTATGTATCAAGCTGATAGTTGAATTGGCTTTTGGGGCCATGGACCATTTGGTTGACGCAGCAGTAATACGGGTGACGTTTTTTCTGTTGTTTGAATTGAACGAATAAATAAGACGGCACGAGGAAATGAATAACAAAACCAGTTATATTATATATTCCCACGTATATGCATACGCTGACATCGGGATTTGTATAAATTTTGGAGGGACCACTACTTGGCCACTAGTGGTCCTGAATAACAGGTCAATATTGCATGCGCAGGATATGCAACTAGCACGAAGAACCATTCATGTTTACATCCTGTACGGAACAGCCTCGAGGATTATGATCATAAAAGCTAGCTAAATTAATAATTTTTGTATTACGTTTTGAAATTCTCACATATATAAGACTAGTATACATTAGTCTGACTTTTATAATTAGAGAAATAATTTTACGCTACATTTTCTTTGCATGGGTATTTCTTTTTTTTATTTTTGGGACTTACAATAAAATAAAATAAAGGAGAATTAGTAGAAATAAATAAACAGGGTGTGCAAAAGGAGAAAAAGTTGTATGCGAAATTCATTCCCTATATTTAAGTATGATTCAAACTCAGTTAATTGTCCTCTAGATTTCTGGATTAATTAGGGAGCTGGGCTGAGGTGGAGGATGAGCTTAAAGCCTTCAGCATGAGTTTAATATGTTAGTGACCATGTTGGAAATGAACTATCTAAAGGGAGAGGTTCTTTCCTGGAAAACCAATGGTATACGTATTCGCGCAAGCAAGCTACCAAGCTAAAGTCTATAAATACCAACTACTCTCAAGGAGAAATCACAACCAAATCAAGAACTCTAGCTTATCAATTGTTCAGGCTCTATCTCCCTCTCCCTTTCTCAAACTGTCTAATGGAAATAACCAGTAGAAAGCTCATCACAGTTCTCAGCATCGACGGTGGCGGGATAAGAGGCCTTATTCCAGCCACCATCCTTGGTTTTCTTGAATCTGAACTTCAGGTAATGTGATTAACAATATTATGTTAACTTTGTTGGTCATGTACTTATCTCCAACTTTGTCCGAAGAGGTCTCAAGTTCCCCTCCCGGATTAGGTTAATTTTGCAAATATGTGAATGCATACACACCCATGTCATTCCACATTTGCATGTAACAAAATTATAGTTACATATAGTTTAATCAACGTCGGTCATGCGTAATACACTAGTTAATACGTAGTTCAATGTCATATATTATCAAGTAGTAGGTAGGTGTCAGGCTTCCATGTGCCTTAATTAGGTCCTAAAACTTCTTCTTTCCTAACGTATTGTAATAGTTTCGAATCCTTCCCCTCTCCTCAATAATAATATATTTTTTTTAAAGTAGTAAATTGAGATTGATGTTTGTAGAAGCTGGACGGTGAGGATGCAAGAATTGCCGACTACTTCGATGTGATCGCAGGAACAAGCACTGGTGGTCTTGTGACAGCCATGCTCACAACCCCAAACGAGAATGACCGCCCACTGTTTGCTGCCAAAGATCTTAAGGACTTCTACCTAAGTGAATGCCCTAAAATCTTCCCCCAAAAGATGTAATGTTTATACAACAAGTTAAATTTCAAATTTGTGGATTACATGTTAAATTTCAAATTTATTATTTTGTTACTATATTGCTATTGTATATGGTTAAGATTCTTTATAGTTAATATATTACTTCTGTTTACAGTTGGTTTTCGTATACAAGAAAAATTATGAAAGCTCTAACAGGACCAAAATACAACGGCAAGTATCTGCATGGCTTGATCAGGCAAAAATTAGGCAACAACAAGTTGCACAACACATTGACTAATGTTGTC